TGAGGCACATGTTTAAGAAATATGTGTCACAGGGGCAGCTAGGTGGCCCAGTGGATAGAGCTCTGGCCTTGAAGTCAGGAGAACCTGAGTTCAACTCCGGCCTCAGACACTTGACACTTACTAACAGTGTGACTCTGGGCAAGTCACTTAACTCCAATTGCTTCACCAAAAATAAAGGGAAAAAAAAAGAAAAAAAAACTGTGTCACCCCATTTAACTCACAACACCTGCTCTGGAAGTCCTCTCTGTGCAGAGACTTCTCGCAGAGCTCCTGTTGTAGTTCATCCGTCTTTCTTAAAGAGGACCAATGACATTACAAGCGTGATGTCTGAATTTGCTCACGAATTGCACATGAGTGGGGTAGAACTTCACAATCCTCAGCTTCACTCTTTCCTCCAGAGTCATCAAATTTCAGTGGCAAGAAAAAGATCAAGATGACCGGCACTGGCCCAGGATGCCAGGGGGTTAAATGACTTGCCCAGGGTCACATAGCTGGTGTCTAATGCCTCATTTGAACTCAGATCTTCCTAAAACCCAGCCCTTCCTCTACTTCTTCCATTTAAAGCCCGTGCACTAACACTTGCAATATCACTCATGTCTAAGTTTTCTACAGCATACTGATTTTACTTTTTGAAACACCTAAGAGATCTAACCTCAGCACAGGAGCAAAATGAAGCCCTTTTATGCTTCTCTACAATCCTTTTTTTCTCCATCATGTGGATATGAATCTATAGCTAATTTTTACAACCTAGAACAGGAGTTCCCAACCTTTTTGGTCCACATGCCCCTTGGCTTTCCATAAACATTTTCAATATGAGATGAAACAAACTCTAAAATTTGCCATGAATATGGCACATAAGAAAAACTCTGCACAGCCCCCTTGACAAGCTTCTCATGATCCACAGGGGAACTGCAGGTTGGGAATACCTGCCCTAGACAAACTAACCCAGCTCATCTCAGCAATATCAAAGTCCTGGTCACTACACTCCCAATTCTGCATGAGAATCTGCTATTTGGAATGTTTTCTGATTCTTATCAGAGCTTCCCACTCATGTGGAAGACCTAGAAAGAAGAGTCCTTACACTATGACTTGTTTTGTGATGGTTAGTACTGATGGGGCACTAATGACTCCTAGAAGGCCCTGGACTTTCCCACGTGGCCCAGGTCCCTGGCGTTCACCTGGCGCACCTGGCCCTTCCTAGTTCCTTGAATTGTGGCTTTGACCCTTCCCCAATCTCCAATTCTCTGTTACCTCTAACTTAGCCCAGCCCTTCATTGTCTGTTACCTCTAGATCACCCAGGCCACTTCTCACCGTTCATTCCATTTACACCCCTTCCACGTGGCCCAGGTCCCTGTTGTTCACCTGGGGTACCTAGCCCTTCCTGGTCCTTTTCCCCAGACTATTTTGCCACTCCTAGATCACATCCAGATCTTCCCATAGTCTTCTGTATAAAAGGTCCATCTTGCCTCCATTAAAGTGCTCAGATTCCTTAAGAGTCTGGCCAAGTAGTATCCTCAATACAAAGGCTCAGATTCTTAAAATCTGGCCAATACCACAGATTCTTAAAATCATACCCACCTCAGTCAGTGTTTTAATAAACCTTGTCTCTGACTGAAAGGAGGTTTGTGTCAATTTCATTCAAGGCAGGACCCGCATCTTTTGCCCTTGAAATTAGGGGTTCCTACCACCCCTAGACGTCAACACTATGGCAAAAACAAATATGAAAATGCTCAGTTATATTCTTTCAGTTCATTAACAAGGTCACCAGGGAAACCACCCTAATACACAATGTGCTTCAGCTACAACCTTTGGCAGAGAATTTGCAAGTGGTTAAAGACAGGATGGACAAGTTTGATCCAGGTTAGCAAGAAGCATTGGAATAGTCCCAATGGAGTGGGTTCTACCAATAATTCAAAATGTATTTTCATTGGAGCAGTAAAACTTTTACCTAGAAGTACCTAAAAAATATCTCTCTTGTCATTCTCTCCCCATTCTTCAAAGTGATTGATGTCACTGTTCTCTCATCTACAGACATTGACGTTTTCCCCAGTTATGGTATGGGATAGAAATAGAAATATAATTGCAATGGAAAGAAAATGAAGGACAATAGGCAAGATTCCTGAGTGCCACTCAGGAGGATAAAAACTTTATACCAGGACCCACACTTCTAGATAATGAGGTAAATATTCAATCCTCATCCCCAGTTCATAATATAATCACCCAATATAACACCATGTGCATGTACTCCCTTTCATCCTCAGCTTTTGACAGAAAGCATTGTCCCTTTGGTCTAGAGTAGACAGAGACACAAGAAGGAACAGTCAGTAACACACAATGGCAAAGAAATCAAAGTGAACAAATTCCCAGGCCCGAAGTATGATACTACTCAAGGATTTTTGAGCAGATAGGCAGATTACCAGCTGCTTCATATTCAGTATGAATCTGTATGCTACAATAGCCTACCCTTCTCCATCCTAATCTTACTACACAAACAGTTTCCCCCAGTTGCCTTTGCCCAATAGACAAGAGCAGGGTCCTGAGAAGTTGAATGGGAATCAGTTTCACAATAGCGACGTCATGTTCTAACCAGTATAAAGCTAACCAGCAGTATTTGAGGAAGCAAATGGAGAATTATTTCTCCATCTCTCATTTGAAATCCTTCTCAATTATCAAAACTTCTAGCCCCATACTTAGGGCAATTGTGGGATGTGAACTGACTAAAAAAGAGATTCTTGTTAGATAGAAAAGAGGGACAGCTAAGCATGAGGGGAAAATATAGGTCATTGGAACTGAAACATCAGTCCTGGTAGATGAAATTGAATGAAACATCAATACTGAATACATTACCTCATATATAGTAGGCACTCAATAAATGTTGGCTGAGTAATGAATGAATGAATGAATAAAGGATCCATGAAGTTTTTTTTTCCAACTTTGAGATTCCATGAAATCAAGAATCTCTTATTATGCAATCTTATTATGCAACTGTGACTTCATCTCACCATAAGTTCAGAATCCTAGAGATTCAAATAGCCATTTTCCTAACTTCTAGTTCTTACCCAATGCCTTAATACAAAAAAGGAGCAACAAAATATGGGAGAAGAAAAGGAAATGAGAAACCTTTCCATCATACCCAAGACGGTTAATTTTCTCCTCTTCAGGAGGCAGAAACCCTACACTAGTCTTAAATCATGTTCTCTAGAATCTATTTTGACCAGGCAAGTATAGACTCATTCACAATAATAATGTAAAATCATCAGAAACTCTCTGATACTACTTTGAGGCACTATAGCTAGTTGTTTTTTTTCTTCAAATGATCACACTCTTATCACAAAGGCACCTGGCAGATGATAAAAACATTCTACTAAACAAAAAAAACAAAGACCCACAGTTGGCATGGGTAAATTGTGCATCAGCCTTAATCAGTCACTGTGCATTATACCAACCTAACCATGACAAACAAAAACACAGCAATTCTTCAAGTGCACACATTTTTAATTCTTACTGTCTTAAAAAACACACATACAGGGGGTGGATTTCAGGTCTTCACCCCCCTCAAACTCCTCCCTTGCACCCCAAAATCACAGCAAAAAGATTAGAAACCAATGGCAACATTAAAGGCAAATGCTTCTTCACACTTGTGGAAACTGTGGAAAGATGAAAATGTTCTAATGTTACAAATCTTGATCCTCCTCCCGGTTTTCTGCAGCATTACTTTCACAAATACGTTCAGAAAATTTCAGTGAATTGGATAAATGGGTTTAACGTATGATTTCCTTAAAGCCAGGGACTTGGTCTTATCTATCTATGGATGCCACTAAGTGCCAACCACATAATGGGTACTTAATAAACATTTTTTGAAAGAATAAATGAATGTGTGGCATTTAATCTATTAGTGTCATCTACTAGGACAATCATGGGCTTTATTTTTACAGGGTTGTTTTTTTTTTAATTGGGAACACCTCAGTGCAAATTCAAATATTAATCTTGAAAAGAATTATCAAGTGAATAAAAAAAAAGGTGAGGTTTATTCCCACCTCCTCTAAAAAACTTTTTATTCAGCATGTTTTTACACTTAAATCTTGTTACTCAAACCTGTCCAGGCAGAAACACAAAACGGAATCACTCTAGGGCATGAGAAGCTTGGAATGAAACTGACTAGCTGCCAACACGAAATAGGCCTATTTACCTTCTCTGAAGTAAATGATGGACTAGGTAAGCCTAACAGCTCCCACTGAAACAGAGCCTTACTACTTTAGGTACTTTATGCCATTTGATCTTGGAAGAATGGATTCCTTCTTTCCTCCTCACCCCCCACCCCCTTTCCCAACCAATTCACTTCGACTTGACCGCTGTGTTACTTACAAGGCCTAACACTAAGAAATCAAACACAAGGCCCAAGGCAGTAAAATGTATGGAATTTGTTAAGGGGACAGGCTGGGTGGAGAGTGGAAAGGATGTGATGGAAGTACAACAACTTAAGATGAGTATGCTCACGTATTCCTCTCATCAAGAGTTCTTGTATTTCAAACCTGTGGCCCTGGGCGGGAGGGGGTGAGCCAGGGCAGCTGCTACAACTCTGACACGGGCCTCAGAGATTCCCAACACTCAGGCAACGGTTGCAGATCACCCTCCCTGAGCTCCACTCCTGCAGCTCGGCGTTCAGGGCCCCAGATACATGTGTGGATGGATAGATGGATGAATGGATGGATGGAAACCCCTTGGTTTTCTGTCCCGTGTTCCCAGCTAGCCTTGCTGGGGGCTGAGGCCCCCTGGGAGGCCGAGGGACCTCAAGGGGGACCCCTGCCAACCGTGGGGATTGGGGGAGGCAGGGGACGCCTTCCCTGAGACGAGCTTCCCATCAGTGGCGGGGAGGGAGGCGAGGGAAAGGTCCAGAGGATGAGAACCACTGACAGCCCTTCCCCTGTCCCTTAGCCGGGGTCCAGACACCCCGGCCCCCGGCCCCTGAGTGCGGCCTTCTGCCTCTGGCCTCCCTCACCTGATCACGGAGATGAGCAGGCCCGAGGGGTCTTTGCTTTTGCTGACTGTGCTCCTGTACTTTCCACCAGCTGCTTCTGCCGCCATCTTGGTACGGGGCGGGGGGGGTGGGGCAAGAAGTGAGGAGGAGGGAAGAAGCGGAAAAAGGACGCTCAACCACTGAGCGCTAACCCGTTAGAAGTTTTCACCAATCGCATGAGAGCAGGGGCGTTGCTGTACGCCCAAAAATCCAATAGTGAAAGTGAGAAGGCGGAATCAGCGGTCTCAATATTCTGTGGAGCGGCAAGCCCTTTTCCCCAAAGCATGTTGGTACTTGTAGTTCTGTCAATGAACCGTGAATTTCTGCTGTCAAGCTCATTTCTCTCTAGCATGCATTGTAAGCGTGGGAAAATTAATCCAATGACTGGTTCATAAAGCTCCTGATCAGTGTTCTTCATTTATTTTTTATTCCAGTCTTAATTTTTTTTTCATTATACTTGATCTTAATGTTTTTCACGTGATTTTTTAGGTCTTTGTGGAGTTTTAAAAATTAGTATCCTCTTGTCCGAGGAATTCTCAAAGGTAAAAAATCCAAAGGGACAAAAGTTTTGGTATATCCCTAAACTGTCAGAATCTTGTTCTCTAGGAATTTGATTTTTGAAAATTTAAGACATTTTAACTCAAGACAATTGTGTCTAAAACCCAAGAGTGTATAAAATTTAATAAAATGCAAATTTCTCTTTGGGATATTAAAATTATATTTTTAATTCTGATTTTTTTTTGGTTGTTTAATTTACATATTTGTTTTATGCCAATGTTCCAGCATCTCCGGATAAAGCTAAAAACACACAGACGGAGAAGAGAGGAAGTACAATTTAACTATCTAGAACTTTAAAACAGCCCTCTGTCAGAATGAAGTATAGGAGATTAAAAAATAGTAATAATTAATCTGGTTAGATTTTTACATGTAGTTTTTTACATTACTTGAAAGTTAATAATTTTAGTTTATGAGCTTAGGTCTCATGCAACAGATTCATTCACTATGTCAATATGGAAGCATTAAAAAAAAAAACCAGGGGAAGAAGTATAAAGGACAGAAAAGTCAGGGAGATGAAGAGGGAGAAACTGGAAAAAAAGATCATGCCAAGAAATGTAAAAGAAATACATAACCGTGAAGATTAAAGCACTTCTGAGGAAAGGGGAAAGCAAATTGTTTCAGGCATCCTAGTGTTATGAATCAGCATCCTCCAAAGACTGCAATTTTTGTTTTAATTGAAGTCAGGCAAGGAACAAAGGCAGCAGGCCAAGTAGATGATTCAGTGCCTATTCTACCTTGAATCAATAACTCTAAATTAAAACTTCAGCCAACGATGCCCAGGGCTCTTCAGCCTTTGCTATCCCAGTTTGCTCACACTGCTCCCTTTCTCATTAAGTAACTACTGGACCATAGAATTCAGGAAGGGCATTAAACTCTATATCTGTCTTGGTTCAAACCTAGGAGGCCAAAACCAGGGAGAAGAGGATTCTGGAGGTTGAGTCATCGAAGATTAGAGAGATCTAGAGACTTTCTCCTAGAAACTGGTGGACCAGGAAGCCAGACTGGGCATTTGGGGCATTCTCTGTAAATGAGCAGAGAATTGGAAAGGGAGGAGGGGAAAGTAAAAACTTGTCTACTTCAATTAGCAGGGAGAAGCAAGCAAAGACAGGACTTGGGAGATAGACAGTGACTCACCACAGAAGCCACCATGCTCAGGACTATAAGTGACTTTTGGTTTGTTTCTATTTTTGTTTTCCAGAGGTCTGGGAGAAGGATTCTGTGATTTCATTGTAGTAGAAAACTCCAGATTTGGAAACTCTCTTTACCAGCATAAATCCACAACTCTGCAATTCGACATCTTAAAGAGCTGCACTGCGAGGGTAATTGACCTGTCTAATATCACATAACTAAATGTCAGAGGATGGACTTGAACCTCGAGCTTCCCAACTCCAAGGCTGGACTTCTATCTGTTATGCCTAACAGCACGAAGTATGTGATCAATAAATGTGTGTTGAATTTAGAATGAATGCAGGTCCTTGAACCCGAAGCTAAGTGGTTTGAGGCGTTTGTGTTTTAGGCAGGGCAGAAACTAGTGCATGTGCAGATTTTGATTTGATGTTATCTGCTCAATTGTGAACTGAGATAGAGCCGAGTTCTTATTATTACATTTGTAAATACACCCAGTGGGTCTTAAAGTCCGGGGAATATACAATTAAATTAAAATGCTTTGACCTCCTCAGATGAAAAGCTGAAGATAAATCCACAGTATTGATATTCTTATTATTGTAGATAAATGAAGTGTGTAAGTGAAGCCAGCCTAGCAGTTCAGAGGCCTCTTTGGGATCTGTATCAAATTGCTATTTGCTAGGCATCTATCTGGGCTGCAAATGATGTTGGGGGAGAGTATTCTAAAGAAAGGCTCTAGAGGAGTCAGCCCTGTAGTCAGAGCTCAGGGAGCCTCAGTTCCCCCTGTCTCTCTCTATCAGGGACTGATTAGTTTGGAATCCCAGCCTCCAAACTAACTTCAACAACATTTTTCTATGGTTGTGATTTCTCCTAAGTCAAGGCATCTCCACACATAGTGTCATGATTAGTGGGAGGATTTGGGAGTCAGGAAGTCCTGTGATCTTCCCTCTGTAAAAGATGATAGGTAAGGGAAATCAACCTTTCAGCACCCCAGGCAATGATTGTCAGGGGTGGGGAATGTGGGGCCTCGAGGCTGCGGGTAGGCTTCTTGCTCCTAGGTCGGGCCCTTTGACTGCATCCAAACTTCACAGAACAAATACCCTTAATAAAAGGATTTGTTCTATAAAACTTGAACTCAGTCAAAAGACTACACCCAAGGACCTATGTGACCTCAAGTCTACAGGTTCCCCACACCATTCTAGGGCCATAAATGATAGACACATAGTGCTGTATTCATGGCTTGCTTGCATACCCTGGGGTAGCTTTCCCAGAGGTTTGTTAGGTTGGGGTTTTTTTCATTGAGTCACAGACACAAATACAGACTTCAAAATATCCTTGAGAATTCAACAAGCAAACTGTACTGGTCTGGACCACAGATATGAGAATTAGAGGGAGGGGGTGGACCTCCTGGTATGCAAACTCCTTTTTTCTGAATATTTTTTTCCTTCTACATTGCCCAGAGATTATAAGTGCCTGGTACAGAAAGCTCTATTAAACACATTGCCCACAGTGGTCCCAAAATAACATTGATCCGAAAAAAGTTAAGGAATCAAAGTCACCTGGGCTCAGGAGAAAGTACGTTATCATCATCCTGTTGGCTATTGGACTTACCTTAAAGATGTTTTCAGAAGAAAAAAAAAGCTGTTTTCAGTAAGTTTATAGAAGATAAACTCACATCCCAACACTTTTACTAAAATGCAAAAGGCAGTTATTTTATCCACCTAAGCATTAATCTCTAGAACATTAAATGTAAAATAATAATAATGCATGTGAATACGTGGTGAATAAAGCAAAGCACTGGACTTGGAGTAAAGAAAATTTGGTTGAAATCCCATTGCAGAAACTTACCAGCTGTGTGATCCTGGATAAGTAATTTAACCTTTCTCTGCCTCAGTTTCTTTATCTGTAAAATGAGGTTTTGGATTCAATGGCCTCTAAGGTCCCATTCAGCTCTAAATCTATGATCCTATGAATAGCACCGGAACTATTGTTAATCAAACTACATTAAAAAAAACAAATAGGAGAACAAGATAATAGTAATAAGAGTTGTTGCTGTTGTTGTCCAGGTGTGTGCACCTCTTCACGAACTTATTTGGGGTTTTCTTGGCAAAGATACTGAAGGGATTTTCCATTTCCTTCTCCAGCTCATTTGACGGATGAGGAAACTGAGGCAACTAGAGTTAAGTGACTCAGCCAGGGTCACACAGCTAGTAAATGTCTGAGGCCAGATTTGAACTCAAAAAGATGAGTCTTCCTGACTCCAGGCCTGCCACTCTATCTGCTTTGCCACCTAGCCGCCCCTGTAATAAGTAGGAATAATAACAACAATAATAATAACTCCCTCAAAACTCAACCCATTATCCATGAATTTAAGCATCTTCAATTAGAATGTATGTTATCAAACTCAAAAAGGTTTCTTGAAATTTCATTCTAAGTACGCTCATTTCATTTTCAAAATAATTTGAAAAATTGGTGTCGTTTCTGTCATGTTTATGTAGTTTGCATTAAGTGAATCTTTAGATTTCACCAGCTTCTCAATTTCATCTCTTATTTCACCTCATCTAGTCTTCTGATTTTCCTGAACTGGATGGTGATATGTAGTTATATGACTCTGAACAGAGGGCATTGTTAACAGAGCAATATGAAACCCATTCCAATAGCTTGTAATTTTATTATGACAGTGCTTTCTTCTTTGAGATACAAAGACAAAAATGAAATAATCCCTGTGCCCTTAAGGAATTAGCATTCTATCTATGAGACAATAAGGACAAAGATAAGTAGGCAGCAAGGTGGCACAGTAGGTAGGTCACAGGACTTAAAATCAGGAAAGATATGAATTCAAATTCTGCCTTGGATACTTACTGACTATGTGGCCATGGGCAAGACCCTTAACATCTACCTGCCTTGGTTTCCTCATCTGTAAAATGGATAACTCCACCTCCTTGACAATGCTATTGTGAGGATCAAATGAGTTAGCATATGTAAAATGCTTTGCAAACCTTAAAGCACTATGTGATAACAATAGCTAGCATTTAAGATTTACAAAGCACTTCATAAACATTATCTCATTTTATCCTCATAATGTCCTTGAGAGGTAGGTGTTATGATTATCCTCATTTTACAGATGAGGAGACTAATGCAGACATAGGATAAGAAACTTGACCAGAGTCACACAACTAATAGATGTCAGAGGCAGGAATTGAAGTCACATCTTCCTGATTCCAAGTTTTGCACTATCAGCTATACCACCAAGCTGTCTCTAGCGCATAAACGCTAGCTATCATTATTATAAACATATAAGGAAATGTACAAAATAAATACAAGCTAATTTTGGAAGGAAGGGTCCTAGTTGCCTGGGTGATGAAGAAAGGCTTTATGTAGTAGGTGGTATTTGAACAGGTT